TCTCGGACCCGGTGGCTTAAACTCACACCAGGCGCGTGTGCGTGCGTGCCCAAGATCCCAAGAGGAGAATGGAGGAGAAGGGATTGTGGCATGGCCATCCCCTCGATGGGGGATTTCTCACTTTCTGTCTCTGCCTCTCCTTGACTTTCTGGTGAGCGTACATGCCCTATAGCAAAAACCTCTCCAAAAAGAAGAAACCAAGGCTCAGAAAAGTTAAGGAACTCACCCAGAATTGCATAGTCGATAAAGCCCGGATTGGATTCCAGATATGCCTGACTGCAGACCTGTGCTTTTGTTCTATCACGGTTGTCCATGGATATAACAAACATTTACCGCAAGCCTGCCTTCGCAGCATGTGCTAGATGCAGGGTTACAAGGACAGACTGCAGAGCCCTGCCCTGCAGGAGCTGGCAATCTGGTGAGGGAATGCAGACACAGAAATGGCTAACTCTAACAATACTGAAACTGAAGGTGAACAAAGTGCTGTCAGGGCACATGCACTGAAGTGCCGGGTGGTTCTGCCTGACAAGAATACTTCAAAAGTTTAGTTGCTTTTTTTTTTTTTTTAAATGAGAGAGAGAGGTATTTTCAACAAGGCCTCAACCTCTCAGTTGGCTAAGATTACAGGGCACACCATCATGGCTATTCTAGAACTGTACCCAGGCCTCCCACGTGGTTTCAGCCATCACATAGCAGTGCCCTAACCACTAGTGACACCATAGCTGGCCCTAGTGTCAATTTTAAGACATGTATTGGGCTAACTTGGTAGCACAGAGTAACATGCTGCCCCAGGGATGCCAGATCCACATGGAAACCATGGGTTTGGTTCTTGGGACAACTTGTAATTGCTAGGTGTGTGTCCATGATCCTAACTAGCTGGGAAGGCTGGGGAGAAGAGCCTGGCATTAGACCATGTTGAAGGTACTTTTCTCTCTCTCTTTCTCTGACTCTCATTCTCAAGAAAGATTTTTTTTTAAAGGCATTTATTGTTCCAAACACATTCGAAGCAAGGCCATGGCGTAAAGATTGCTTATAGAGGCACATATATGCAACACAAATCATCACTTCTAGGTTGCTGATGTTAATGCATGACGGATGAGTTTGCAGGGCCCTTCCAGAGGTTTCAGTGACAATTTTGAGGAGAAAGTTGGAGCTGATCCAAGGCAATATGAGGGAGGAGCTCAGTGCCAACGCCAACAATATCTGATATCAGAACATCCTACAAGATTTAAACAGCACCTTTCCCTCCTGGAAAAGCAATGTCTCTTCAAGGACTGATATTTGTGGCCAAACTGAGACACTCAATTTCTCCTTATAAATGGACCATTTTCTCCACCTTTTTTCTTGTAACACAAGCATGAATACCAGAAGGAATTTAAACAGTGCTGTTTAAAACACTTCCCAGATGGTGTTTCCACTGTGGCTACTAATGGGGCACTGATGAAATGACACGGCACATACAAAAGTGCCATTGTCATCTAATATTTATTGCTCACTACTATTACAGCAAACTATTTCTTAGAAAATAATATATATTAAGATGATAAATTTACAAGCAATTTTCTAGGCAAGAAATCTTTAAATTTATGTACATATTTTGCCTTATGACAAAAAAAATTAGCAAGAAATGAAAGACAGAATTTGTCTTCAATCCCATCATTCAATCAAATCATTGTTTCCATTTAACCTAGCCACCTTTTGGTCCTCATGCGCATGGTTAGGCATATCAGGTACTGATGCAAATTATATCAAACGTGAATAATTCACACTAGGAAACAAT